AGACCTCTTTAAAGTGTTAAAAAGCAAAGATATCAGTTTAAGGACTAAGGTGCATCTGACCCAAGCCATGGTGTTTTCAATCCCCTCATACACATGTGAAAGTTGGACAATGAATAAGGAAGAGTGAAGAAGAATTGATGCCTTTGAATTATGGTGCTGGCAAAGAATATTGAATATACCACAAACTGCCAGAAGAGTGAACAAGTCTGTCTTGGAAGAAGTACAGCCAGAATGCTCCTTAGAAGCAAGGAGACTTCATTTCATGTGCTTTGGACAGGTTATCAGGAGGGGCCAGTCCCTGGAGAAGGACCCCATGCTTGGTAAGTAGAGGGTCATCGAAAAAGGGAAAGACCCTCAACGGGATGGATTGACACAGTGGCTGCAACAATGGGCTCAAGCATAACAAGGGTTGTAAGTATGGCACAGAGCTGGGCAGGATTTCACTCTGTTGTACATAGTTGGAACCAACTCGACGGCACCTAACAACAACAAATATCCTAACTGTGGTTAAATAATTGCCTCCCTGTGTAGATCCTTATGAATGAGGCAGCTATAAACACAGACGGATGCAGTTTCTTGATTTCCAATGAGGTTGAGCAACTTTTCTGGTGTTTCTGGTGTTTATTTACCATTTGGCTACATTTTTGAAAAGTAAGATCCCTGAGGGCACAGTGGTTAAGAGTTCAGCTGCTAACCAAAAGGTCAGCAGTTAGAATCCATCAACCGCTCCTTGGAAACCCTATTGGGCAATTCTACCCTGTCCTATAGGGTCGCTATGATTCAGAATCGACTGGACGGCAATGGCTTTGGTTTTTTGGTTTTTGGAAAAATACCTGCTCAAGTCTTGATTTTTTTATTGTGTTGTCTTATCTCTTATTCTTTTGTAGGAGTTCTTTATATATTTGAAATACTGGATCTTTGTGGGTTATATGTGTTACAAATATATTCTCTAGCTGTGGCTTGTCTTTAGTTGAATAATTCTTAATTTTGATATATGTAATTAAACTTATCAATCTTTCCTTTTTGGTGCTTTTTGGTTCTGTGTAATAAATTTTTCCTCATCCCAAGGACATTAAAGAAATTCTTTTTTCTTTCTTCTCCTGTTTCCCTTCTCTTTCCTTCCCTTTCCTTCTCTTCTTTCTTGCTATCATACTCTCTCACTCAGTCTCTTTCTCTCTTTATTTCTCACATTTAGATCTGTATTACATCTGGAATGAATTTTTGTGAGATAGGGGTCAAGTTTCTTTCTTTTTCTTTTCCTGTATAGATATTGAATTGGCTCAGTCTGCTTATTGAAAGGATTATCCTTGCCTACTGCACTGTAATGCCATCATGATTTGTGTGGGTCTGTTTCTGGGTTCCCTATTGTTTTATGTTACTCTATTTCCTTAGTCTTGCACCAATCCCACATTGTCTTAATTATTGTCACTTTATGATAAATCTTGACATCTGACTTTACTAGCATTTTGCTCCATTCTTGTGTTCTCTCTGTCTCTCATTTTTTTGACCATTTGAAAGTAAGTTACATATAAATGGTCTTTACCTCCAAAATACTTCAATATGCATATCCTATTTCTAGAAATAGGTATATTCTCTTTAAAACCCTAGTAAAATTATCAGCTTAAATAAATATTGTATTGTACATTGATACAATAAAATGTAACATTAATATAATACTAATCTACATCTGAATTCCAATTTTGTTAATTGACCAATAATATCCTTTACAGAAATTTTTTCTTTTCCAGCACAGGATACAGTCTTTTGATCTGAAACGTTTCCACAGCCTTTCTCTGTCTTGTATGATACAAATTTTTTAAAATAATATAATTCCTCTTCTCTCTTTATGATATAATGCTCTTCATTTCTGATTTGTCTGATATTTCCTCATGATTAGGTTCAAGTTATGCATGTTTTGCTGGAATACTAGATAGGTGATGTTGTGTCCTTCTCAAGGTATCATATCTGGAGTTACTTGATGTCCATCTATTTCTCAATGATGATGTTAGTTTTGATTGCTTGGTCAAGGTGTTGCCGAATTTCTCCACTGTATAATTGCTGTTTTATTTTCTCTTTTAAATAGTAAGCAGTCTGGAATGAGATACTTTAGCCCATGCAAAGATTTTCATCACAGTTTATCACTAGATTTAGCATTCATTGATGATTCTTACCTGTTCCAATCTTTACTATGATGGTTGCAAAATTATGATTTTCCAACTCTAGTACTCCCCCTTATTTACCAGTCACATTCAGCATTCTACTGAGGGCAAGAGCACTCCCTTCTCCCCCCCCCC